GGGTTTTGAATACCTCCTCCAAAGACAGCTTGTGGAGCGGCAGCAGTGTCTCTTCAGCAGAGAAGCCTCCACCTAGGGATTGTTTCCCTAGCCTTTCAGACACAAGTCATGCTGCTCTCTGAGGCAACTGGACTTCATGGAGCAGTGCTTACTGCCTCTTGTGAGGAGTTGCTGTTGCTGATAATCCTGTTTCATTAAAAACTGACAAGCCAAAGCTTGAACCCAAGGGGAAAGGGTGCATAAGCAAGTGATAGGTTTTCGGAAACCCTAATGTGTTTCTTCTGTCAGTGTGGGGAGAGGTCCCTTGCTCCCTGCTTCTCTCCTCTCCCTTCCCCCCCCCCCCCCCCCCTGGAGGGGGAGGCTGCATGTGGAGCATCCTGTGTTGCCTCCTGTGGTTAACCAGTTAGATGTGGTGGAGGGTGCAGAAAAGGTCTCTGGTGCCTGCCCCTGTGTCCTGACCTATTGCAGAAAACTCAGCCTGGCAGCAGAGTTTCCCCAGCTTTCAATCTCACTGTGTGCCCAGAGGGGCACGAGTCCACCTGTATCCTGCACGTGAGGCCCAGAAATGACCCTCCTGTTCCCTACAGAGCTCTGCATTGGGTCCCCCCACCCACCCTCCAGTCTTCCTCCTTGCTGTTCCTCTTCTGTTGCCCAGTGCCAGGGCAAAGTCCTGTATAAAGCAATGCATTTGTTGAGTGTGGTGGAGCTTCATGCTGGGGTGTGCCTGAGCACTGCAATCCTCCGAGTCACCCTCAGGGTGAGGAGATGAGGGGGGAGAAAAGGAGGCCTTAGCTGCTTTTTGCTTCACATCCGGGGTCAGGGCTTTCCAGAAGACTGCAGAAAAGACTATGGGCAGAGGATTTTCTGTGAGCTCCACATGCCATCTATTCCCTGCTTGCAGTCTAAGCCTGAGTCTTTGCACTGGCAGTGCACTGAGCAGGTGTAGGTGGGCAGGAGGTCTAGGGAGGTGTATCCCAGCTGGTTGCAGTAATTACACTCATCATGATGACTAAGACCTCAAAACAAAAAAAAAAAGCATTGTATGCTGACTTGATCCAGGTAGATGACCCACAGGTCTTGTTTCTATTGCTGCTGTTTCTTCCTCAGTTCATTGAAATGTATAGGAAAGGGCATTTTTGGAACAGAAGTCCTTAGATTCGGCAGGTGAGGCTGGGTTTTCTGTCTGTCTTAGGTGTTATGAGCAGCAGGCGTGTGACATCCCATCATGAAGCGATGGGATGTACCAGGGGTTGTATTTAATGAACTTGTCCACATTTCTTTATTTCAAATGTAAAAAAGCTTACCAAAAACATTGCTGGAAAGGGAAACTTTCCTTTACCTGCCTCAGCCTCCAGGGCGTTTGTGTTCAGCGTATCACCTCTTTGTCGAGCGTTCCAGTATCTAATTTTTTGGACTACCGAAGGATAAGGAACTTTGCCCAACCCAGCTGGCCGCAAAGACGGAGTGTGCTTTGCAGTTGTGTTCTGTGCTCTGTTTCCTTTAAAACAACAAAGTTGTGTTTTATGGAGCAGCGATAGCTGTGCTCGACAACGTTATAACGTAGTTCTTCTTTCCAGCAGAACCCCAGTAAGGAGGAACAGCACGTTCCTTTCGAGAAGGACGAGGAAAAGGCTACCTGAAACAGACTCAAAGGCCGTACTGACAGGATGCGTGGGATGGCCCTGGCAGAGGTTGGCCCTGGCATTTGGAGTTTTCACTCCCTGCTCGTCAGCTCGGAGCCGGCCCAGCCGAGGTGTCCGCCTCGGATCCGGGATGCTCTCAGGAAGGTACTGTGGCATGTGAGAAATGAATTGTAGGACTTGAATCTAGATTGCGCTAGACAGGGGCCCATATCGAAGGACTGCCAGCCTTTCTGGTTGGTCCAGTTGATGTGGAGAGTGGATTAACCTCACGTGGAAAGTCTTGCTCTGGAAAGATGAGGTATGTTTGCACAAAAC